GCTTACTCTTACTCTACATCTATATAGTAGCAAATGTTACCGGTAGTATATTCCCACACCTATATAATCTCCCATGTATCCATCGAGCATGGAATGTACATCAGAACATTATCATCGTTACACAATATTAATTAGTGGCATGTCTATGTGAAGACTAAGGACAGATTCATCAAACATGATTTTTTTTGAGACATGGTTTCCAGGGGCATAAAAATTAGATCATGAATAAGCATTTTGTGATCAGTAGGTGACATAACGAACTAATGAAAAAGAATAAGATTGTATAGACCATCAATACAACTTGGAATATGAGGACTCTGAACCAAGGGCCTATAATAAAAAAAACTCATTTGTTAGCAGCTAAGGGTGTGGACGAGATCACAAAACCATACAATGTGGTTGATGGACGTCCAATTGATGTAACCCATTCTATGATCAGCGATATTAATGGTGAAAGGGCATGGATGTCGCCTAGAGGAGAGGTGAATAGGTGTTTTAGAACAATTGCGGTTTAGACTTGAATAAAAGCGGAATAAAACAAATGTTTAATTTATCAAGCACAAAACCTAAATATACTAGGCTGGACTATGTGCACCAACAACTTATGCTAAGCAAGATAAACAACTATGTGATAGCAAGATGTATAACATGAATCACTATGGTTATCACAAAGTAAGTGCATAGGTAAATGGCTCGGGTAAAAGATAACTAAGGCACGCGGAGACGATGATGTATCCTGAAGTTCACACCCTTGCGGATGCTAATCTCTGTTAGAGTGGTGTGGAGTCACAATGCTCCTCAAAATGCCACCAAGGCCACCGTATTCTCCTCACGCCCTCGAAGAATGTAAGGTGCAGTGGTCCCACTAAGGGACTCTTGAGAGCGGTCGCCGAACCCGTACAGTTGGCGACCCTTGGGACAGTCATCGAACCCGTACAACTTGCTCGGGGCAATCTCCACAACTTAATTGGAGACCCCGAAGCTTGCCCGGAGCTTTTCACCACAGTGATCGAGCTCCGCGACACCACCAACTATCTAGGGCACAAGCTCTAGGGTGCCCAAACACCCAAAAGTAATAAGCTTCTCAACTTTCACTTCCATGTATCACCGATGCAACTAATGCAATGGCGCTCTTATCCTCATTGACGCTCTTATCTATTCACTCAACGACCAACACCATATCCAACCATCAAGAATCATCCATCTCGCCTCGTCCTCTCAGCGAAACTCTTTCTTAACCGCAAGCCTCGCTACTACCGCCGATGTTCGTTATCCCTGGCCGTTGTTTCAACGTTCGCTGGCAAAGCTGCAACCGCACGCCGGCCAAAAATACAAGTCGTTGATGTGTTGGCAAGCTGCAAACCATGTCGGAGTTGCAACCATAAGAGGCAAGTGCTAGAAACAGCATCGACGCTACTGCTAGCCGCCGGCGCCCAACGAGAACAGTTGTCGGTGGTGCTGGAACCAGCAAGACGGCGAGTGCGACCCGCGCGGAGGCACGGGGTTGCTGGAACCGTGAGGCGGGGTGCTCGACCCGGGCATGAAGTTTCCTGGAATCAGGAGGAGACTTCTTTCGACAGTGAGTTTTTTGCTGCAACCGCCTAGTGTTGGAACTGGCCAAACCAGTGCTGCAGCCGCCGACAACGACATCTACCACTGACGGCGGCGGCCTACAACCACGACCATGGATGCTGGAACCAACAATTGTGGGTGCTGCTACCAACGGCAACAACTTTTTCTTTGATATTGAAGACGAAAGAGGCACAAGATGCTACAATCGGCACCCGCTAGCGCCAGACGACGCGCGACCTTGCCATCGGTGGCGAGATTGTGCCATGAACGACACTTTCTCAGGGCACTGCATACTAGTATTGATGACAAAGGGGAAGAAAGAAGATGACGCTGGGGATGGGGTGGCACCCATTGGCGCCAGACGACGCGCGACCTTGCCATCGACGGCGAGCTTGCGCCATGAACAACACGCGGGGCCTTGCCATCGGTGGCGAGCTTGCGCCATGAACACGAGCGGCCTTGCCATCGGCGGCAAGCTTGCACCATGAACGATAAGTTCTCAGGGCATCGTAGACTAGTATTGAAGACGAAGGGGGAGGAAGAAGAT